ACAGGTCTGCAGCTCTAGATTCTGTCATGCTTCATTACCTCCTTCCTCCAGTGCCCTTCTTCATCTCCTCGTAAATGTCCTTGGCCAGGTGCAGTGGCTCAGGCCTGTAATCCCAGTGCTTTGGGAGGCTGAGGCGGGAGGATCACTTGAGACCAGGAGTTTGAGACCAGCCTGGGTAACATAGTGAGATTCTGTCTCTACAAAAAAAAATATTAAAAATCAAAATTAGGCTGGGTGCAGTGGCTCACGCCTGTCATCCCAGCACTTTGGGAGGCCAAGGTGGGCGCATCACGAGGTCAGGACCAGTCTAACCAACATGGTGAAACCCCGTCTCTACTAAAAATACAAAAATTAGCCGAGCATGGTGGCACACACCTGTAATCCCAACTACTCAAGAGGCTGAAGCAGGAGAATCGCTTGAACCTAGGAAGCGGAGGTTGCAGTGAGCCGAGATCGCGCCACTGCACTCCAACCTGGGCTACAGAGTGAGACTCTGTCTCAAAAAAAAAAAAAAAAAAAAATCAAAATTAGCCAGGCGTGCACACCTGTAGCTCCAGCTACTCTGGAGGCTGAGGTAGGAGGATTGCTTGAGCCCAGGAAGTAGAGGCTGCAATGAGCCATGATCACACCACTGCACTCCAACTTGGGTAACAGAGTGAGACTCTGTCTAAAAAAAAAAATTCTGGCCGGGCGCGGTGGCTCAAGCCTGTAATCCCAGCACTTTGGGAGGCTGAGGCAGGCAGATCACAAGGACAGGAGACCGAGACCAGCCTAGCTAACACGGTGAAACCCCGTCTCTACTAAAAATACAAAAAAATTAGCCGGGTGCAGTGGCGGGCACCTGTAGTCCCAGCTACTCGGGCGGCTGAGGCAGGAGAATGGCGTGAACCCGGGAGGCGGAGCTTGCAGTGAACTGAGATCGCGCCACTGCACTCCAGCCTGGGCAAACAGGGTAAGACTCCATCTCAAAAAAAAAATAAAATAAAATTCTTCTTCGTCTCCTCATTAATATATTTACTGGATGAGTCAGCTTGTCAAAACCTGACCCTACTAATCAATTTTAACCTCATTTAAAATGGGACAGGTGGGCTGGGCATGGTGGCTCATGCCTGTAATCCCAGCACTTTGGGAGACCAAGGTGGGCAGATCATGAGGTCAGGAGGTTGAGACCACCCTGGCCAACATGATAAAGCTCCATCTCTACTAAAAATACAAAAAATTAGCTGTGCATGGTGGCATGTGCCTGTAGTCCCAGCTATTCGGGAGACTGAGGCAGGAGAATTGCTTGAACCTGGGAGGCGGGGGTTGCAGTAAGCCAAGATTGTACCACTACACTCCAGCCCGGGCGACAGAGCAAGACTCTGTCTCAAGAAAAAAAAAAAAAAAAAAAAAAAAGGGACAGGAGGCCGAGCACAGTGGCTCATACCTGTAATCCTAACACTGTAGGAGAACGAGAAGGTTAGATCACTTGAGGTCAGGAGTTCACAACCAGCCTGGCCAACATGGTGAAACCCCATCTCTATTAAAACTACAAAAATTAGGGACCGGGCATGGTGGCTCACGCCTGCAATCCCAACACCTCGGGAGGCCGAGGCAGGTAGATCACCTGAGGTCAGGTGTTTAAAACCAGCCTGGCCAACATGGTGAAACCCCATCTCTACTAAAGATACAAAAATTAGCCAGGAGTGGTGGCATGCGCCTGTAATCCCAGTTACTCTGGAGGCTGAGGCAGGAGAATCACTTTAACCTGGGAGGTGGAGGTTGCGGTGAGCCAAGGTTGTGCCACTGCACTCCAGCCTGGGCGACAGAGTGAGACTCTGTCTCGAAAAATAAGAAATAAAAAAATTAGCCAGGCGTGGTGGCATGCACCTGTAATCCCAGCTACTTGGGAGGCTGAGGCAGGAGAATCACTTGAACCTGGGAGGCGGAGGTTGTAGTGAGCCGAAATCATGCCACTGCGCTCTGGCCTGGGCAACAGGAAGAGACTCCATTTCAAAAACCAAACAAAAAAACAAAACAAAGCATAACAAAAACAACAACAACAAAGAAATGGTAAAAGACAGGCACTGTGGCTTGACTTTTAATCCCAGCACTTTGGAAGGCCAAGGTGGGAGGATTGCTTGAGCCCAGAAGTTTGAGACCAGCCTGGGCAATATAGCAAGACCCCACCTCTACAAAAAATAGTTTTTAACAAAAATAGCTTAGTATGGTGACTAAGTCCCAGTCACTTGGGATGCTGTCCCAGTCACTGTAGTCCCAGTCACTTGGGATGCTGAGGTGGGAGGATTGCTTGAGCTCAGGAATTTGAGGCAACAGTGAGCCATGATTACACCACTGCACTCCAGCCTGGGTGACAGAGCAAGACTCTGTGTCTTAAAAAAATTGGGCCAGGCACAGTGGCCCACACCTATAATCCCAGCACTTTGGTAGGTCGAGGTGGGTGGATCACTTGAGTCCAGGAATTCAAGACCAGCCTGGACAACATAGTGAGACCCCATCTCTACAAAAAATAAAAAATTAGCTGGGTATGGTGGTGCACACCTTAGTGCCAGCTACTTGGGAGGCTGAGGCAGGGGGATAGCTTGAGTTGGGAGGTCAAGGCTCCCGTGAGCCACGATTGCGCCACCACACTCCAGCCTGGGTGACAGAGTGAGACCCTGTCTCAAATAATAAATAAACGCACGTCCAGTCATTATGTGCCTCCTAGTGGGATGCTACAGGAAGTACACACCACCATCCCTGACATATTAATGCCCTTCCCTCGAAAATGGAAGTCAGACCCCCAGATCTAACTGCTGTTTCACAGGGAATATGGAAATTAAGCACCTGTGAAACTACACCACGAAGATGCAATCCATCAAATCCAGGAGGTGGGAACTCTACTAATTCAAATGTTTCTTTTTTTTTTTTTTTTTTTGAGATGGAGTTTCACTCTTGTTGCCCAGGCTGGAGTGCAATGTCGTGATCTCGGCCTCTGCCTCCCAGGTTCAAGCGATTCTCCTGCCTCAGCCTCCTGAGTAGCTGGGATTACAGGCATACACCACCACACCCAGCTAATTTTGTATTTTTAGTAGAGACGGGGTTTCTCCATGTTGGTGAGGCTGGTCTCAAACTCCCAACCTCAGGTGATCCGCCCACCTCGGAGAAACCCTGTCTCTACTAAAAATACACAAAAATTAGCTGAATGTAGTGGTGGGTGCCTGTAATCCCAGCTACTTGGGAGGCTGAGGCAGGAGAATCACTTGAACCTGGGAGGTGGAGGTTGCGGTGACCCGAGATCGTGCCTTTGCACTCCAGCCTGGGCGACAAGAGTGAAACTCTGTCTCAAAAAAAAAAAAAATCACTTTTGGTAAGCACTGAATTTGTTAATTTAGAAAAATCACTGCTGGGCACAGTGGCTCACGCCTGTAATCCCAGCACTTTGGGAGGCCCAGGTGAAAGGATTACTTGAGCCCAGGAACTGAAGACCAGCCTGGGCAACATAGTGAGACCCTCCTCTCTACAAATAATATAAAGATTAGCTGGGCATGGTTGTGTACGCACACTGTGGTCCCAGCTATTTGGGAGGCTGAGATGGGAGGATTGCTTGAGCTGAGGTCGAGGCTGCAGTGAACCATGAACACACCACTGTACTCCAGCCTGGGTGACTGAGCAAGACCATGTCTCAAAAAAAAAAAAAAGAATCAAGGCCAGGTGCACTGGCTCATGCTTATAATCCCAACACTTTGGGAGGCCAGGATCACTTGAGGGCAGATCACTTGAGGCCAGGAGTTTGAGACCAGCCTGGCCAACATGGAAGAACCTCGTCTCTACTAAAAATACAAAAAACATTTGCTGGGCACGGTAGCGGGTGCCTATAACCCCAGCTACTTGGGAGGCTAAGGCAGGAGAATTACTTGAACCTGGGAGGCAGAGGTTGCAGTGAGCCACTGTACTCCATTCCACTACACTGCACTCCACGTACCACTGCACTCCAGCCTGAGCAACAGAGTGAGACTCGGTCTCAAAAAAAAAAAAAGAGGCCGGGTGCGGTGCCTCACGCCTGTAATCCCAGCACTTTGGGACGCCGAGGCGGGTGGATCACCTGAGGTCAGGAGTTCGAGACCAGCCTGACCAACATGGAGAAACCCTGTCTCTACTAAAAATACAAAATTAGCCAGATGTGGTGGTGCATGCCTGTAATCCCAGCTACTTGGGAGGCTGAGGCAGGAGAATCGCTTGAACCCAGGACGCAGAGGTTGTGGTGAGCTGAGATCGTGCCATTGTACTCTAGCCTGGGCAACAAGAGTGAAACTCCGTCTCAAAAAAAAAAAAAAAAAATTGAGAACATTGGGGCAATTAGAACTTAATCTGTTGATTGGGAAATTATTGATACATTAATTAAGTATGATAATGATATTCTGAGTATTATGTGTTTTTCCTTTTTTTTTTTGAGATGGAGTCTTGCTCTGTTGCCCAAGCTGGAGTGCAGTGGCACCATCTCAGCTCATTGCAAACTCCACCTCCCGAGTTCATGCCATTCTCCTGCCTCAGCCTCCCGAGTAGCTGGGACTACAGGTGCCCGCCACCATGCCCGGCTAGTTTTTTGTATTTTTTGTAGAGATGAGGTCTCACCGTGTTAGCCAGGATGGTCTCGATCTCCTGACCTCGTGATCCGCCCGCCTCAGCCTCCCAAAGTGCTGGGATTACAGGCATGAGCCACCGCGCCCGGCTATTATATGCTTTTCTAAGAGAAGTCAATAATCTGTTGGATACTAAAGTATCTGTGGGTGAAGTATTATGATGTTTGGCATGTGAGATTTGCCTCACAGTACATGGGGAGTAAAAGATAGAAGGGAAGAGATAAAACAGGGTGCACCTTGTTAGCTGTTGAAGCAGACTGATGCATATAGGGGGTCATTACTGTATACTTTTGTACTTTTGTGCATTCTGAAAATTTTCATAATAAAAAGTGAAAAAAGTTTCTTAATATACCCAAATGTGTGGGTTTATTGTTTCAGGGACTGGTGACATTCAGGGACGTGGCCATAGAGTTCTCTCTGGAAGAATGGAAGTGCCTGGAACCTGCTCAGAGAGACTTGTACAGGGAGGTGACTCTGGAGAACTTTGGTCACTTGGCCTCACTAGGTAAGGAGATGGTATCGCCCAGGCCAGACGGAAAGCAAGGCACTGGGGACTACAACCATGGGGTGCTGTTTCCATCTCTGCCTAAATGGGTGAGGAGAGGAAACTGTCACGGGAGACGCTACAAACTACAGCCATAGAGAGGGGACCAGCCAGCAATTGCTGTAGCTACTTCCGGAGCTCCTGGGTTAAAGGAGGGAGAGAGAGGGGTAAGAAATGCCCAGTGCCCTCTCTCCTCCTGTCCGCTGATCTCCAGCTGATGCTTTTTGTCTGCCAAAGCTAATGAGAACCCAGAGGGCATGGGTAATGCAGTTCTTACAGTGAGCTGTTGGGATCCCAGAGCCGGGCACAGAACAAGGCCAGGAGCATCAAGGAAGATTGGAGGGGAAGGAGTTGTTCATGGAGAGTGATCACCACACATCTACTCCACATAATTCAGGACTACCCTTCTGGAATTTCTGGTTTCTTCATTGTGAATTTCTAGGGTAACTTACAAGTTTCTGACTGAATTTCTGGTGACTGAAAAATTGTTTTGTGCTTCGTGGAATTGGAAACAAGTCATTCCACTGGGCACCTGGGTCTTCCCATCCTTCAGACAACCTTCCGCCTGCCTTGTGATTGCGTCTTTTCCATGGTGACCAGGGAACTGGGTTTGGATTTTGGAGCCGTCTCATCACACCCCGTTTCTTTTCCTGTAAACAGGACTCTCCATTTCTAAGCCTGATGTCGTCTCCTTATTGGAGCAAGGGAAAGAGCCCTGGATGATTGCAAATGATGTGACAGGACCATGGTGCCCAGGTGAGCAAGGGCTGGTTTCGACAGGGGGAGGTCCCTGGGTGCGTCGACTGACAGGAGCAACTTGAGTTACTGTGGGAAGTTCCCTCAAAGCCCTACTGTGGAAGAAAGGCCTGAAACGTGAAGATGTGGCGAGTAAAGACCTTATTAGCCTCAGCTCCCAAGAGAACCTTGGCCTACTCCCATTAATTCGTTTCTCTTCTCTGTTCTCTCACATTTTCCTTCCTTTTTAAAAAGAGATGTACCTATTTCTTCCCCAGTGGTCACCTTTTTACCTGTACTTCGTATCCTTTTTTTTAGAGGCAGAATCTCACTCTGTCATCCATGCTGGAGTGCAGTGGCATGATCACAGCTCACTGCAGCCTCCATCTCCTGGGCTTAAGCGATCCTCCCACTTTGGGAGGCCAAAGTGAGATTACAGGTGTGAGCCACAGTACCCAGCCAGATCCTTTTTTCTACAAGTATCTTCATCCCTTAGAAAACTTATTTTCTTGACCAGGCATGGTGGCTCATGCGTGTAATCCCAGCACTTTGGGAGGCTGAGGTGGGTGTATCACCTGAGGTCAGGAGTTCAAGACCACCCTGGCCAACATGGTAAAATCCCGTCTCTACTAAAAGTACAAAAATTAGCTGGGCATGGTGGCGGGTGCCTGTAATTCCAGCTACTTGGGAGGCTGACGCAGGAGAATCTCTTGAACCCGGGAGGCAGAGGTTGCAGTGAGCTGAGATTACGCCATTGCATTCCAACCCGAGTGACAAAAGTGAAACTCTATCTCAAAAAACAAACCAAAAAAACATTTTCTTGGCTGGACACGGTGGCCCACACCTGTAATCTCAGCACTTTGGGAGGCCGAGGTGGACAGATCACTTGAAGCCAGGAGTTCAAGGCCAGCCTGGCCAACATGGTGAAACCCCATCTCTCCTAAAAATACAGAAATTAGCTGGGCATGGTGGCCGGTGCCTGTAACCCCAGCTACTCAGGAGGCTAAGGCAGGAGAATTGCTTGAACCCAGGAGACAGAGGTTGCAGTGAGCCGAGATTGTGCCACTGCACTCCAGCCTCTGCAACAGTAATTCAGCCATTCATTTATTCTCTTAACTTTTGAGCGGTACGGTTGTGTAGTGGTTGAGGGCACAGACACTGGAGTCAGACTACCTGAGTTCAAATCCTGGCTCTGCCACTTAGTAGCTCTGTGAGTTTGCATAAATTACTTAAATTCTCTGTGCTTCAGTTTCCTCCTTGGCAAATGGTATAAAAATATTGCTGTTAGGCTGGACGTGGTGCCTCACCCCTGTAATCCCAGCACTTTGGGAGGCCAAGGTGGGCAGATCACTGGAGGTCGGGAGTTCGAGACCAGTTTGGCCAACATGGTAAAACCCCTTTTGTATTTTGTAAAAATACAAAAATAAGCTGTGCATGGTGGCACACATCTGTAATCCCAGCTACTCTGGAGGCTAAGGCATGAGAATCGCTTTGAACCTGGGAGGCGGAGGTTGCAGTGAGCTGAGATCACACCATTACACTCCAGCCTGTACAACAGAGGGAGACTCTGTCTCAAAAAAAAAAGAAAACAGAGTTGCTGTTATATGAAATATAGTGTGAAAGTGCCCAGAAAGGCAATTGTGATGACTACATAAATGTTAGTAAGTATTCTCGATTGGCACTTGGTGGACAGTATTGGAATCTGTGAATCCTGAATCACCAGTGACCCTTTCCTAACCTCTCCGCTATTGTTGTCTTTTTAATTTATTTATTTATTTATTTGTTTATTTATTTATTTATTTATTTTTGAGATGGAGTCTCGCTCTGTCGCCCAGGCTGGAGTGCAGTGGCGTGATCTCGGCTCGCAAGCTCCGCCTCCCGGGTTCACGCCATTCTCCTGCCTCAGCCTCCTGAGTAGCTGGGGCTACAGGCGCCCGCCACCTCGCCCGGCTAGTTTTTTGTATTTTTTAGTAGAGACGGGGTTTCACCGTGTTAGCCAGGATGGTCTCAATCTCCTGACCTCGTGATCTGCCTATCTCGGCCTCCCAAAGTGCTGGGATTACAGGCTTGAGCCACCGCATCTGGCCTTTTTAATTTATTTTTATTTATTTATTTGTTTATTTTTGACATGAAGTCTCGCTTTGTCACCCAGGCTGGAATGCAGTGGCATGATATCAGTTCACTGCAAGCTCCACCTCCCAATTCACGCCATTCTCCTGCCTCAGCCTCCCGAGTAGCTGGGACTACAGGCGCCCACAACCACACCCAGCAAATTTTTTTTGTATTTTTTTAGTAAAGATGGGGTTTCACTGTGTTAGCCAGGATGGTCTCGATCTCCTGACCTCGTGATCTACCCGCCTCAGCCTCCCAAAGTGCTGGGATTACAGGTGTGAGCCCCACGCCCAGCCTATTGTCATTTTTAATTTTCATCTGGGATCATTTTCTCTCTATCTGAAGAAGACCCTTAAAGTTTCCCTCAGTTTTTGGCCACACGAAAATACTGTTTTGTTTTGTTTTGTTTTCTTTACAAATGACATTTATCAGCCTGAACAACCTAGCAAGACCCCTTCTCTACAAAAAATACAAAAATTAGCCAGGCAAGGCGGCATGCACCTGTAGTCCCAGCTAATCAAGAGGCTGAGGCAGGAGAATCACTAGAGCCTGGGAGATCAAGGCTGCAGTGAGCTATGATCATGCCACTGCGCTCCAGCCTGGGTGACAGAGCAAGACTCCATTTCAAAATAAATAAATAAATAAAAATTTTTTGTTTTTTTTTTCTGAGACGGTATCTCACTCTGTCACCCACGCTGGAGTGCAGTGGTGCGATCTCAGCTTACTGCAACCTCTGCCTCCTGGGTTCAAGTAATTCTCCTGTCTCAGCCTCCTGAGTAGCTAGGATAACAGGTGCACACTACCACACCCAGCTAATTTTTGTATATTCAGTAGATACGGGGTTTCACTATGTTGGCCAGGCTGGTCTCAAACTCCTGAGCTCGAGTGACCTGCCCACCTCAGCCTCCTAAAGTGCTGGGATTACAGGCATGAGCCACCACACCCAGCCAGCTGATCCTCTTAATGAGTAGTTTTTTGTAGATTGTCTCTCACTTCGTGTTTGTCTAATGTTTTCTCACGGTGAGATTCTGCATTTTAGCAAGAATATTGCAGAAGTGATGTTGTATTCTTCTCTGTGTATCACATATCAGATATCAACATGCCATATTACTGGTGCTGTTCATTTTGATCACCTGGTAAGATAGGTGCTGTTCGCACTTTGGGAGGCCAAGGCGGGCGGATCACAAGGTCAGGAGTTCGAGACCAGCCTGGCCAATATGGTGAAAGCCCATCTCTACTAAAAATACAAAAATTAGCCGGGAGTGGTGGCGCATGCCTGTAATCCCAGCTACTCAGGAGGCTGAGGCAGGAGAATCACTTGAACCCAAGAGGCGGAGGTTGCAGTAAGCCAAGATTGTACCAATGCACTCCAGCCTGGGAGACAGAGCAAGACTCTGTCTCAAAACAGAAAACAAATTGAGAACCCCTGGCTTAATCTGTCTTCTTGCTCCCTTCTGGCACCGTATGAGCTCTTCACATAGTGTGCTTTCATGTACTTTTTTGAAATTGTATAATATTTGAGATGTATATAAGCCATTCACTTTTTTTCTTTTTTTTTTTCTTTTTTTTTTTTTTTTGAGACGGAGTCTCGCTCTGTCGCCCAGGCTGGAGTGCAGTGGCCGGATCTCAGCTCACTGCAAGCTCCGCCTCCCGGGTTTACACCATTCTCCTGCCTCAGCCTCCCGAGTAGCTGGGACTACAGGCGCCTGCCACCTCGCCCGGCTAGTTTTTTGTATTTTTTAGTAGAGACAGGGTTTCACCGTGTTAGCCAAGATGGTCTCGATCTCCTGACCTCGTGATCCGCCCGTCTCGGCCTCCCAAAGTGCTGGGATTACAGGGTTGAGCCACCGCGCCCGGCCTAAGCCATTCACTTTCTATGGTTATTATTATTATTTTTTTTTTTCTAAGACGGAGTCTTGCTCTGTCACCCAGGTTGGAGTGCAGTGGCGTGATCTTGGCTCACTGCAACCTCTGCCTCCCGGGTTCAAGCAATTCTCCTGCCTTAGCCTCCCCAGTAGCTGGGATTACAGGCGCCCACCACCATGTCTGGCTAATTTTTGTATTTTTAATAGAGATGGGGTTTCACCTTCTTGGCCAGGTGAACTCCCGACCTTGTGATCCACCTGCCTTAGCCTCCCAAAGTGCTGGGATTACAGATGTGAGCCACTGCGCCCGGCCTCTATAGAATTTTTTATTTCTCATAGAAAAGGAGCACAGCTTGTATTTATCTTTTTCTTATTTTTCAGACTTGGAGTCCAGGTGTGAGAAATTTCTACAAAAAGATATTTTTGAAATCGGGGCATTCAACTGGGAGATAATGGAAAGCCTTAGGTGCTGTGACCTGGAGGGCTCCGATTTTAGAGCTGACTGGGAATGCGAAGGCCAGTTTGAGAGACAAGTCAATGAAGAGTGCTATTTTAAGCAAGTGAACGTCGCCTATGGACATATGCCCGCGTTCCAGCATCACAGGTCTCACACTGGGAGCAGGGAGACTGGTGAGAAACTCATGGAATGTCGGGAATGCGGGAAAGCATTTAGCCGTGGCTCACACCTTATTCAACATCAGAAAACTCACACTGGTGAAAAACCCTTCGGGTGTAAGGAATGTGGGAAGGCCTTCAGCCGTGCCTCACACCTTGTTCAGCATCAGAGAATTCACACAGGTGAGAAACCTTATGACTGTAAGGACTGTGGGAAGGCCTTCGGTCGTACGTCAGAACTTATTCTGCATCAGAGACTTCATACTGGTGTCAAACCTTATGAATGTAAAGAATGTGGGAAGAGCTTTAGGCAGCATTCCCAGCTGATTCTGCATCAAAGAACTCACACAGGCGAGAAACCCTACGTATGTAGAGACTGTGGCAAGGCTTTCATTCGTGGCTCCCAACTCACTGTGCATCGGAGAATCCACACGGGCGCCAGACCCTATGAGTGTAAAGAATGCGGGAAAGCCTTTAGACAGCATTCCCAGCTGACCGTCCACCAGCGCATCCACACTGGTGAGAAACCCTACGAGTGTAAGGAATGCGGAAAGGGCTTTATTCACAGCTCAGAAGTTACTCGACATCAAAGAATTCATTCTGGGGAGAAACCCTATGAGTGTAAGGAATGTGGGAAGGCCTTTAGACAGCACGCACAGCTCACACGACATCAGAGAGTCCATACTGGCGACAGACCCTATGAATGTAAGGACTGCGGGAAGGCATTCAGTCGTAGCTCATACCTCGTTCAACATCAAAGAATTCATACAGGCGACAAACCCTACGAATGTAAGGAATGTGGGAAGGCCTTTATTCGTGTTTCACAACTGACTCATCATCAGCGAATCCACACTTGCGAGAAACCCTATGAATGCAGGGAGTGTGGAATGGCCTTTATTCGTAGTTCACAACTTACCGAACATCAGAGAATTCATCCTGGTATCAAACCTTACGAATGTAGAGAGTGTGGGCAGGCATTTATTCTTGGTTCACAACTCATCGAACACTACAGAATTCATACTGGTTAGAAAGCCTCGAGTGTGAGTGATACAGAGAAGCCTTTATGTGGAGTTCACATCTGGCTCAGTACTAGGTAATTTTTAATGTAGTGTAATTAATGTCAGAAAACACCTGTCACTTCCATGATAGAACATCAGAAAACTCACACCCAAAGAAAATTCAATAAATGTGGGAATTCTTTTTGCCTCACTCACTGTTTCCTAAGCATCAGATAATCTATGCTAAAAAAAAAAAAAAAAAAAAGAATATAGAAAAGCTGCTTCTTGTCATTCAAAATATGTTAAGTTTCTGAGAATTTCTAACACAAAATGACCCTATTAAAAGATTCTGTGGCCAGGCGTGGTGGCTCACACCTGTAATCCCAGCGCTTTGGGAGGTCGAGGCCGGCAGATCATTTGAGGTCAGGAGTTTGAGACCAGCCTGGCCAATGTGGTGAAACCCTGTCTCTACTAAAAATACAAAAATTAGCCAGGCATGGTGGCAGGTGCCTGTAATCCCAGATACTCAGGAGGCTGAGGCAGGAAAATCGTTTGAACCCAGGAGGCGGAGGTTGCAACAAGCAGAGATCACACCATTGCATTCCAGCCTGGGTGACAAGGGCAAAACTCTGTCTCAAAAAAAAAAAAAAAAAAAGATTATGTGACTGTGCCTTTCATCATGGCATATACCTTACTTAGCAGTGCTCACTTCCCCGAGTATGGACTACATAGCATAATTGGGCAAGTTATGCAATCTCTTTGTCCCTCAGTTTACTTTTTTTTTTTTTGAGACAAAGTCTAGCTCTGTCACCAGGTTGGAGTGCAGTGTTGCAATCTCAGCTCACCGCAACCTCTGCCTCCTGGGTTCAAGTGATTCTCCTGCCTCAGCCTCCTGAGTAGCTGGGATTACAGGCATGCGCTGCCACGCCCAGCTAATTTTTGTATTTTTAGTAGAGACGGAGTTTCACCATGTTGGCCAGGATGGTCTTGATCTCCTGACCTCATGATCTGCCCACCTCGGCCTCCCAAAGTGCTGGGATTACAGGCGTGAGCCACCGCGCCTGGCCCAGTTTACTTATTTTTAAGTGGTGATTATTATGCCTAACTAATAGAATTTTTATGAGGACTAAATTATTTTATGTAAAGCCTTAGAAGTAATACCTGGCACACACACGTGCTCAGTAAATATTAGCTGTTGTCATTAATTTTATTATCAGTATCACTGATAAGGAGTTTATATGAGGGGAGAGCCTTATGAATGTATCACATACCCAAAAGTCTTCATGACCAGTTGTTATGATCATTTATTCTGAAAAATAGTGGGAAAGCATAATTATTATGAGGCCTTCAATCAGAAGGTTAGAAATTCAGAAGATTAGAAATTAACAGAAGAGTGGCCTGGTAAGGTGGCTCACACCTGTAATCCCAGCACTTTGGGAGGCCAAGGCAGGCGGATCACTTGAGGTCAGGAGTTTGAGACCAGCCTGGCCAACATGGTGAAACCCCGTCTCTACTAAAAATACACAAATTAGCCAGGTGCAGTGGTGCATGCCTGTAAGCCCAGCTACTCAAGAGGCTGAGACAGGAGAACTGCTTGAGCCTGGGAGGCGGAGGTTGCAGTGAGCTGAGATCATGCTACTGCACTCCAGCCTGGGTCACAGAGAGACCCTGTCTCAAAAAACAAAACAAAACAAAACAAAAAACTAGTTTAGCGTAGCCAAAGCTGTACTCCCATCAGAACCTAAGAATTGAAGCTAGTGGCTTTGTTCTCCATGTGTAGATCTCCAACACCTTATCACTGCCAGTCACATACTAAACATGTTGAATGAATGAGTAGTCAACTCTCAAAGTTAGGAAAAAATTACAATATAAGCCAAAGTCAGCAGTAAGATTAATCATTAAAAATGAAAACAGAATGGAAAACAAAACAGATTTCATCTGAAGGTTGTTTGTTTAACAATACAATAAGACTACTTACAAGAGTGATCTAGGGAAAAAACATGAATAAGAAAGGGGGTAAAGATGTTTTTAAAATAGCTAACTATGCATGACTTTATTTTAAAATCTAGAGAGAATGGATTTTTATACAAATACCAAATTGATTCCTGGGATTCCTATAATCCTAGCACTTTGGGAGGCTGAGGCAGGCAGATCACCTGAGGTTAGAAGTTTGAGACCAGCCTGGCCAACATGGTGAAACCCCGTCTCTACTAAGAATATAAAAATTAGCTAGGCATGGTGGTGCGTGTCTGTAATCCCAGCTACCCGGGAGACTCAGACAGGAGAATCACTGGAACCTGGGAGGCGGAGGCTGCAGTGAGCCGAGATCGTGCCACTGCACTCCAGCCTGAGTGACGGAGCCAGACTCCATCTAAAAAAATACAGGTCGGGCGCAGTGGCCCATGCCTGTAATCCCAGCACTTTGGGAGGCCGAGGCGGGTGGATCATTTGAGGTCAGGAGTTCGAACCAGCTTGGCCAACATGGTGAAACCCCTTCTACTAAAAATATAAAAATTAGGCGTGGTGGCGCACGCCTGTAATCCCAGCTACTCGGGAGGCTGAGGCAGGAGAATTGCTTGCGCCTGGGAAGCGGAGGTTGCAGTGAACCAAGATCATGCCACTGTACTCCAATCTCGGTGACAGAGTGATACCCTGTCTCAAAAAAAAAAAAAAAAAAAAAAAAAATTGTCACTCTAAATAGTTAAAGCACAGTCATAGGATAAAATTGTTAAAGTTACAATTCGTTGTTGTTGGGTTTTTTGGCTTTGTTTGTTTTTTGAGACCGAGTCTCACCCATGCTAGAGTACAGTGGTTCGATCTCAGCTCACTGCAACCTCTGCCTCCTGGATTCAACCAATTCTTCTGCCTCAGCCTGCCAAGTAGCTGGGATCACAGGCGCCCACCATCACGCCCAGCTAATTTTTGTATTTTTAGTAGAGCCAGGGTTTCACCATGTCACCCACACTGGTCTCAAACTCCTTGACCTCAAGTGATCTGCCCACCTCGGCCTCCCAAAGGGCTGGGTTTAAGGCATGAGCCACTTCCTGGCCTAAAGTTACAATATGGTATGCAGACATAAGTGAATCTTCACACAATAGCGCTATGCCTTTCCCACCCCATTACCTTTTATGGAACAATCACTAACACAGAGTTCTTGTATATAGTTTCTGATTTTTAATTTGCATAAACATGTAATCCCAGCACTTTGGGAGGCTGAGGAAAACAGATCACTTGAGGTCAGGAGTTCGAGACCAGCCTGGCCAACATGGTGAAGCCTTGTCTTAACTAAAAAATACAAAAATTAGCCAGGTGTGGTGGCTCATGTCTGTAGTTCTAGCTACTTGGTAGGCTGAGGCATGAGAATCACTTGAACCCAAAAGGCAGAGGCTGCAGTGAACCGATATCCTGCCACTGCACTCCAGCCTGGGTGACGGAGTGGAGACTCCATCTGAATAATAATTATTATTAATATTTGCAAAAGCATAACGTACTCTTTATACAAATATTTTATACAAGTGATAGCAAATTTCAACACATTGCTATTTTTGCTTATGCATACGTCTTGAAGATTAGACCATATTGGTACATATATAGCTGCCTCATTTTTTTTAACAACTCCTTAGGATTCCATCATCTGTGTGTTTCATAATTTATTTAACATTATGAATTTTTTTTTTTGAGACGGAGTCTCACTCTGTGACCCAGGTTGGAGTGCAGTGGCGTGATCTCAGCTTACTGCAACCTCCACCTCCCAGGTTCAAGCGATTGTCCTGCCTCAGCCTCCCAAGTAGCTGAGACTGCAGGTGCGAGCCTGCAGGTGCGAGCCACCACGCCCGGCTAATTTTTGTGTTTTTAGTAGAGACGGGGTTTCACCATGTTGGCCAGGCTGATCTCCAACTCCTGACCTCAGGTAATCTGCCAGCCTTGGCCTCCCAAAGTGCTAGGATTACAGGCGTGAGCCACCTCATACGGCCATTTTTTTTTTTTTTTTTGAGACAGAGTTTCGCTCTGTTGCCCATGCTGGAGTGCAGTGGCATGACCTTGGCTCACTGCAACCTCTGCCTCCTGGGTTCAAGAAATTCTGCTGCCTCAGCCTCCTGAGTAGCTGGAATTACAGGCACCTGCTACCACGCCTGGCTCATTTTTGTATTTTTAGTAGTGACGGGGTTTCACTATGTTGGCCAGGCTGGTCTCAAACTCCTGACCTCAAGTGATCCACCCACCTTGGCCTCTCAAAAGTGCTGGGATTACAGGCATGAGCCACTGTGCCCAGACTTTCCATTATTTTTTGTTCTTTCAAACAATCCCATAATATTTCCCTTGCACATATTTTGTACATGTGTAATACATCTTTAAGGTAAACTCCTAGAAGTGGAAATGCTAGATAAAAATGTAAATTTTTGGCCAGGCGCAGTGGGTCAACCTGTAATCCCAGCACTTTGGGAGGCTGAGGCGAGGCGGGGCGGGGGGGGGGGGGGGGGGGGGGGATCACAAGCTCAAGAGATAAAGACTGTCCTGGCCAACATGGTGAAACCTCATCTCTTCCAAAAATACAAAAAATTAGCTAGCGACAGAGCGAGATTCCGTCTCAAAGAAAAAAAAAAAAAAAAGTAACTTTTTAAAACTTTCTGTCATAAAAAAATTTGAACATGTACAAAAATACACAGAATCTTATAATGAACCCCAGCAGCCTCATCACCAGCTTCAAGAATTATCAGCTCATGGCCAGGCTTGCTTTGTCTGTATATCCACTTCTCTCATCTTTGTGTTATTTTTGAAGTTAATACCAGATATATGATTTCATCCATAAACATTTCATACATTTCTCTAAAACACATGACAACATTAGAAAATATTTTCACTCCTTAAAAAAAAAAAAATAGGCCTGGCGCAGTAGCTCATGCCTGTAATCCCAGCACTTTGGGAAGCCGAGGTGGGCACATCACCTAAGGTCAGGAGCTCGAGACCAGCCCGACCAATGTGAAACCCCAACTCTACTAAAATACAAAAATTAGCCAGCCGTGGTGGTGGGCGCCTGTAATCCGAGCTACCCGGGAGGCCAAGACAGGAGAATCCCTTGAACACAGGAGGCGGAGGTTGCAGTGAGCTGAGATTGCACCATTGCACTCCAGCCTGGGCAACAAGAGCGAAACTGCATCTCAAAAGAAAAAAAAAATGATGTTACCACCTTAATGCCATTACATGTATGATAGTGTTCAAATTTTTGTTTCATAAATGTCAGTTTTAGAAAAAATTACCAGGATCCAAATGATGTTCTCAAATTGCAGTTGAT